ATAGAAGGGTGGATTCATACCTTTCCCAATTTATGCATAAGTAAATATAACAAAACCAACTGGAATTAGAACTCGGCTCTCTGATTAAAAATTCCGAGGCATTATCTATTGCATCTGCCGCACATGCAAGCTACATCATCTGATATTCCCAAGTAGTCACCCATTTAGATACTGACCAGGCTTGACGTTGCTTACGGTGATCGTACTGGAACCGATTTATCAATGCTATATGGCCGTAAGAATAAGTAAAAGAAGTTAAGAAGTTCAGATTATGAGGATATGTAAGACAGATAGCGGTTGACTGCGGACTTGAAGAGGTTATAGGGGTTGGGAAGCATCCACTCCGGAGTCTCTTGAACAAAGAAGCGATTTTTGGGAAGGTTCTTTTTTTTTACCAATGGAATATGATGGTAATATGCGTGATTTGTCCACTTCACGTTGTTAAACCTTAGCCTACTAGCAGCTTATTTACCTTAGCAAGGCTTGCTATAAAAGCATAAAAGTCCTTCAAATATCTAATATTACGTTCAGTATCTGTCTATATTTCTGAGATGAGGTAGTATGTACATTATTTACATCATTCGGACTAATGGAACCGAAAGCCCAAACCTAAACAAGAGATAAACCTCTACTTTTGTTCAAAAGAGTAGGGAGGAGTGTGAGCCGGGTGGTAGGCGAACGACTCTTATATTCATTATTAACATTATTCGGACTATTGTCCTCAGCTTTGTCGCCATGTTTATTACAACGTTTCGGCCGTTGTATGTTCCGGCCTTCTTCAGATGGTTGGAATGTCGAACTGAACCCTTTATTTCGCTCACTGGTGTAGACTGTTCTAGCTCCACGTGCCATGTTTGTATCAGTTATCCCCTGTTAATTCTCCTCTCCAAGCTCTCCTTAGCTCTTTGGGTCCTGTCACTGGATCTAACTAACACTTTTATCCACTTGAGGACATCTGTGTATGAATTTCTGGGTATTATAAACCTAATGTCTTCAGCAACCATTTTCACCAGTGCTCATATTGCAATTTTTGCTCTTATCATTACATGTTTTTACCAGAGCTCATATTGCAATTGTTGTCATTATCGCTTTTCTCTGGCACTCCTTATTACTGGTTCCCATATTGTATTAATTTCTATGCTTGGTCGGCTCATTCCAACCACCTGAAGAAGTCAACGGCCGAAACGTTATAATAAATATGGCGACAAAGATGAGGACAATAGTCCGAATAATGTAAATATTGTACGTTCAGTATAGCCTTAAAATGTTTTTTCTGGATTTACCTGTCACTTTCTTATATATCTCATGACACAGTATTCTCTTCCCGCCATAAAAATCCTACACTCCAATAACAGAAAAATACATTATTTTACAAAATAAAGCTTTTTTTTCTTCCTTGCAAATGCACCTGATCAAGCGTTTCATTATTAAAATCAAACATTATACAATGAAAATATTAGTTCAAAATTTAGATAATTAATTTGTGTCGGGTTGCAAACATATTGACCCAACATTTTATCGTCCCAGAAAAAAAAAAGTAAGCAAAGATTGGAGCATTACCACAAGTGTTGAGAACCCAGTGTGGATCGAACTCATTACTAATTATTTGCGATATCAACTTCCGATAGTTATCGATTACCAAGAGTAAATTAATTTTGGTATAAGACGCGATATAAGATACTCCCAATGAGGATCGAACTCACTACTCCGTAGTAATGGTTAGTCTGTTAGATCTTCCATGAAATGAGGTACTCATCATCTTGGGACTGTATGCGTAACGTATTCATATTTCATCCTGCTACACTTTAACTTTCAAATAGACGGGGTAGGTGGAATTTTTAAAATAACTTTTTAAAAGAAATAATTTTCAGTAATGAGGCGGCTTGTGTTCGAGAATGTTCGTAGTCTAAATTAAGAAGCGAGAGGAATTTCCATAAATAATAGAAGATGTGGTTGCAATAAGGTTGTTCCCAGTGGATTTTTCTCCAAAAAAGACAATCGTCCTGGTTGTCTATTTGTAACTCTAGGGTAATCGAATTAATTTATATTCAGAAAGAGAAAATAACAGAACAGTCAGCAAGAATTATAATTTGATCTTTGTCCGGTGTAGACAATGCTTATGTGCTGAAAACTACAGAAAAGAAGCTGTGATACCTAATCTAATATGCGGCGGTGAATGTTGGACAATTTCTTCACAGATAAAGAAGAGACTTGACATTGGGAATGCCTTAGATATAGTATATGGGAAATGTGGAACTTTTTACAGAAAATATGAACTTAAAAATGCTCATAAGCAACTGACAGTTTTGGTGTATTTAATAAGAAAAGAAGGCATGGAGAATTTAACACTCATAGGACATATTGAAGGCTAGAGACGACGAGAAAAAAAAAGCATCTAACCAAGTTGTTGAATATGTGCAAATGGATAACAGAAGGAGTATGACAAGGGTTTGGTAAAAAAGCAAGAGATACGTAGAACAGAAGATAAGAAATTGTGGAGGCCCATGGTCGTAATAATATTTGAAACACATTACAAAGATTGAGAGAGAGAGAGAGAGAGAGAGAGAGAGAGAGAGACAGACAGGGACTGAGACAGAGAGACAGAGGCAGAGAGAGAAAGATTTTGTTTGGTTGTTTAGTGGTATATCAACACCTTATGGGTCATTTAATGCCGTAACTTAATTTTCTTTTACTAAAATTGTATTGCTGGTATTTTTTTCCATTTTTGTTACAATGCATTGTTGGTAATTATTTTTTTTACAAAAGTCTATTGCTGCTAATATTTATTTTTCTTTACAGAAATGTATTGTGTACAATTTTTACTATAAAAATATATTTCTGATATTTTTACTATGAAATTTGTAATACCTTCATAGTATTTTGACCTCAGATTGGGAGTTCCCTATTTGTCCATAGCTAGGAATCTAAGAGGTGCTACTAGAACAGCAATTAAGAGGCGGTTCCACGCTACTTAATAACTCCTAATCAGAGGCCTTGCTACTGGATGTAGTTTATCGAGATTGTGTGTGTGTGTGTGTGTGAGAGAGAGAGAGAGAGAGAAACAGAGAAACAGAGAGAGAGATTGCGCGAGAGAGAGAGAGAAGTGGGAAGGAATGTGTCTGCATGAAAGAGAGAGGGGTAGTGGGAAGAGAGTGTGTGTTTTTGTGTGTGAGATAGACCGACAGAGCGAAAGAGATATACAGGCTGTCCATAAAGTTCGTGTGAACTTTAAAAAAATTATAACTTTATTTGTATTTGCAATAGAAATAATTTGGAAAAAGGATTAGAAAGAAGTAAATCTATATTTTTTTTTAAAGATTTTACTGAAATTTTATTTAAGTTTCTACATACTCTCCATCATAAGCAGTACAAAGGGTAATACGATTTTGCAGTTCACGGAAAAAAATTGCCAACTGATTTGCAGTAATGCCTGAAATCACATTAGTTATTTTATCTATACTTAAAACTAGGTACATTAAACTTTATAACATTTTTTTACAGATTATTTCTATCGTAAATACAAATAAAGTTATAAATTTTTTAAAGTGCACACGAACTTTATAGACACCCTGTAAATTAAGTATTGTCTATTTTTTAGGAGGGGGGGTTCATTCTATTCCCTTTTGATTTTTTAATTGCAAATCCCAGATCGACATTCTACGATCGTTTTATAAGCAGCGATGATCGAATTTGGTTCCTGTCCTTTTTTTTTTTACGAGTGTCAAATAAACATCACTCACCACCACCTCCTCATTCATTCATAGGACACACCTCATTCATCATAACAATTTTAACAGTAGCTCAACTCCTTGAGCGGCTCTCGACCCTTTTATTGGATGGTATTTAGTAGAAAATATGTAAACAATCAAAATGGTTGCAAATAGCGTTTTACAAAAGTAATTAATATATATATATATATAGAACAGCAAATTTGACTGACTCCCACTGGGTTTGTTTTTAGGGTATATTCGGTAAACTGAGAAAGAAAGGCAATGGATAAAGAGTGTAAGTTTAGATCTTGGAAGAGGCATATTTTTCGATCTTCACTGCTTATTTTAACGATCGTAGAATGTTGATCATAGAATTACTATAAAAAGTAGCAAGGGAAATAAGATGAAAGACGAGTAAATGAAAAAAAAACATTAATTTATAAACCAATTAGTGTTTTAGCGCAACAAAGTTTGATGTTGGCTTCGATATTACAGTTGAATATGAAGATTATCTTGGAGCCAGTGGGCTTCCGCCATATGCTGGTTCTTATTCTTTTGAGTCTGCTAATTTATTCATTAATTTAAAGTCTTTGCCATTATTTTTTTTTTGCTGGGTATTATCAGAGTTAGTGAACATCTCCGTTGTAATCGGAATTTTATTATAGACAATTATTTTTATTACTTGATGAAGGATTGGTTAATGGAAAGGTTCATCATTGTATTGATGCGCATAATCGACAAATGAATATCGTCCGATTCTGGGCTTTCTTACAAGCGACAAGACACCACTCATAAAAACCAGTTTTTTTCAATATGGCTAGATATGGCTTTATTTCCTTCCGTACGATGTACTTTACGTTAGAAATGCCAAAGGTCAGAATATCCTTTGCTCTATCCGAACATCCAAACTTGAAGCACCTGGTATTCGGTCATCTATTTAGATAATAACCAAGCTTGATGTTGCTTAACTACAATGATCATATAGGAATCGATGTTTCAACACTATATGGCCGTAATTATTAGTAAAAGAAGTTAAGAAGTTCAGATTGTGAGAATATGAAAGATAAAGGGCAGTTGACCTCCGAATTGAAAAGGTTAAGATTGCATTAGTCGAGAGGCATCCACTCGGGTGTCTGTTGCACAAAGAAGAGATTCTTGGGAAGCTTCGTTTTACCAATGGAATACGATGGCAATATGCATGATGTTCCCAATTCGCGTTGTTAAACCTTAGGCTACTAACAGATTCTCTACCCTAAGATAAACCAAAATAAACTTTGTACTCAATGGGATTACGGCCATATAACGTTGAAGCACCGGTTTCCATACGATCGCCAAAGTTAATCAACGTTGAGCCTGGTTACTACCTAAATGGGTGACCGTTTTGAATACCAAGCATTGTAAACTTGGATGTGCGGGTGGTGTAATAAATAACGGCGCGGACTTATTAATAAAGAAGCCGACTTTCGTATAGATGTGTCAACAACCAGATAATTGTCGGAACAATTTATCAGCCACCAATTTAACAATGTCACTAATGTTCGATATTACGAAATGATAGTGATGTTGCTGTAAGGTAACCTTTGCGCGTCCAGAAGGCCTCAAAAGATTATTTTTAGCGCAAGTTTTGTCAAAGGACGCTGGCACCCAAAGCAAGCTTGCTACCACTGTTAATGCTGAGGACGAAAAGATGCATACTTAAGCGTGTGTCGGTACAAGGTGAATGTAACGCTATACTATAAACATTTTCCTATTTCTTTGAGAAATGAAATTCAAAGATTGGAATCTTTCAGGAATATAAACCAAGTTAAGTATTGCGGTTGTCCAAAACTTCGTTCTGTTTTTGCTGTGAAGTGGCATTAGCAGCGTCTAGTTTTAACTTGAGTCAAGACAATCGGATTTGGCTTTCTTTTCACTGTTTTCATATCAGGATATGTTTTATATAAACAGATTTTTGTGAAAATTGGTATATTGTTCTTTCAGTTCATCTAAAACAAATAAAAGAATATTTTCGGGATATTATTTTTTTTAAGAATTTTTAAAAATGTTCAAATACATAAAAACTGAGATTTCTGTGGGTAATTTTCCACAAATTCATAGCTATTGTGTTTTTTGTGACTTTTAATTTTTTTTTTAATCGAGTTCACCTCATGCAAGGTTGTAAAGCCACTGAGAAACAAGAGGTTATTGGGTGTGGAAGAATTACAGACAGAAACATAGCTAAGGGGCGAGAACAAAAGAGTAGATAGCGATTGACATTGAATTTAAATTAAGCAGATTAAAGTTGGCTGAAAAAGCATTGAGACGGAAGGGAGATCCACAAGAGAGAAAAAAAAACTGTTAGCATAGAATTTACGGTTGTGGATAAGTTTAGCATGTCTATGGAAGATTGCACTTAAGTTCGCACCAGAATATCAAGGAGCCAAACACTGAGTTGATCTGGGGTACACTCCTGGACGCCAAATGTTGTATCAAGTGAACTCATACCCGGATCCAGTATTGCAAGCAAAGGATAGATACCTGATTTGAGTAGTTATATAAATGGCTCGGGAGAGGAGTTGGGCAGTCTCTCAAATATCCTGGACAAGAATGTAAGGTCTATGTTTCGGAAGATGACTTTGGGGGTCGCACCTTTCATACTGGCCGAAAGTTACTAATGAAGTAGTGGAGAAAGATAAAAAAATAAAGTTTAATATGAAAGATTCATGTCTCGTATTGCTCATTAATACGCATGTGTTATTTTACCAAAGCACTCAGGTCATTAAACTGTGATGTTTCTATATTTATATAATATTAATATTTACTTGGCTTTTTATAGTGCAAATTCAACTGAGACAAAATAAGAATGGGTCGGTTGTATTGCTGCAATCTTGTGTTGTTTCTAAATTAGAGAGACAGTTTGAGAGATTGTATAGCTCACATTCAAAAGAGTAAAGCTTGATCCAATACAAAACCGATATTCACTGTCTTGACTTTTTCTGGCAGTTGAACATGAGATTGGTGATGCTAGTGAGAAAAGCGCAACTCTCTCAGCCATCAGGAAAGCCTAGCACTGTATTCCTTATCGTTTTATATTTTGTTATTTATATTTTTTCAATACTAATATATAAAAAAATGCAAGTTGATTATCATCATTTCCTCCTGCATTTAAAACTATTTCCATGGTTATTCTCGATGTTGCTAGTGGCATTAATATTTTATTTCATTTCAAATTTGTTTATTATTAATAGTTTTTTTTTTGACATTTAAACTCTGGAATTTTGATTTTTTATTTCACCATCATTCCCTCACTCACTCATTATTATTATTATTATTATTATTATTATTATTATTATTATTATTATTATTATTATTATTATTATTATACCTGGTCGGTCATGTGGTATTTATCATTATCTGGTTCGTGATAATTGGTAGCCATTGAATTCCCAGAAGCCTGTTGCAATTTACAAACGAAATGGAACAGTGGTAAAAAAAAAGTCAATAAGCTTTCCTCCACGCTCCCCGCCTTTTCCTGGTTCGCGCTCCTTCCTTTCTCAAAGAAAAAAGGCGAAACATTATAGCGGTAAAAACAAAACAAAAAAAAAATGGCGAAAGTACACGTGGGCCTCTCACCACCGTCAGAATGCGATGTATTTGCCGATAAACGTACTATATAACAAAGTTATCGCAATTATATTTTTTTGAAGTTATGCGACATCGTCAAACACAGAGAAGCACATGCAGCTGCACTTTTAACAACATCAGGAGACAACCAACAAAATCAAAAAAAATCCATTCGTTTACCTTTTACATGAAAAGCGGTTTGTGAATATTATAATAATATTTATTCGTAATCCACAGAGTGACACATATAGAAAATTATCATTAGACAATCGTTATAATCATAGCTCTAGATGACTGTTGAAAAATAAAGAGGTAGGAATATATGCAAGGTGCGAGTAACTTGAGAAAACAACATTCGAATTCCTAACGCTTTAGCTGGGATCGAACGCGGACATCAACTACCGGTAGTAATATATCATATTTCTGCAATACGATATATTTGACATAATCCGTTGACGGTCACAAGTCCCGGAAGAAGAAAGGAAAAGAAGTAGAGCATGGCAGTATTTTTTTCAACGGTCCGTGAATTGACTAATCAACGACTACCGAGAAAGCAAGATTTTACACTAAAAAAGAAGTCTCTCCTCCAAAATTACTTTGGGTGAGAATTTTAGCTTGGTCTCAAAAGGCTTGGATAGTAAAGTGATCTCACTCACTGTCAAACTCTCCGTCACTGACTAGTAGTCGGCAAAAATTCCCCTACTGGTTTCAATACAATAAACAATACAGACCATGCGTTGTGCTATTTATTATTGCAAGGGAACCTCGCTTGAAAAGACGTAAGAGAAAGGGACAGTGCAACTTTGATATGTTTGACTGAAGGTAGCCGTAACGAATAATGCAATAAAACTACTGGTACGACCCACAGCGGAATAAAGACCATAGTCGACCCAACACCAGTTCGAGCTAAATATGATGTGAAGAGAATATCACAAGCAACAAAGTAATATTTTATTCTATTTCTATGTATGTTGATATCAAATAATTTCAGACCAAATTAGAGATTATTGAGAATAATTATTTGTATTGCGATTAATGTTCTCACTCATTTTTGTTGTTATTGTCACAACGTTTCGACCTTTTTGTTCCACAGAGTAAAGCAGGCCTTGCTGATCACTCGCGGAGACGTGGAAATTTATACACAATCATTGAGCAAAATGAATCAACCACATATTCCATTTGCCTAAATGTTTGAAAAACACCAACTGGCCTTGGGAAAAACACGTTCGTGTCTTTAAAAATGGATCATCTCTTTATTTTACTGGCCCTTATTTATGTCCATTCGGATCAGAATTAGTCATATTCCTACGCAATTCTCCCTAGAATAATTGAAAACACAACCATTAACACAAACCAAAACAACCTTTAGAATAATACGACTACCCACAATACATCACTGACATGTATATATAAATAGTCAAGCATAAACACAACGCACATGGCATGGGTATTGCGTTTTGCATGAAACAGACTGTCGCCTCTGGGTATTGACTTCAATGTCCTCTTTTATATATACATATGCTCTATTCTTGATATTTTAACCCATAAATTTAGCAAATATAGCATACCATAAAATTATATTTTATCATATATATATATATATATATATATATATATATATATATATATATATATGAAACTAATGACATTAATACTTAAATGTTAAATACTTACACACAGACACACACAAACACACACACACATACACACACACACACACACACACACACACACACACACACACACACACACACACATATATATATATATATATATATATATATATATATATATATATATATAATAATCTCATAAAGATAAGTAAGTCTACTTGTCCGGAAAAAAACCTTAGGTGTATTGGCTTGTAAATGAACAAACCAATAGCCAAGGAAAACAAAAAAAAGAAATGAAAAAGGAAAGAACTAGGAACATGTAATTTTGGCGAAAATAATCGACCAGAATCCAAAGCTCAGAGTCCAAAGAAAAAAAACCTCCGACACGAGTAAAATAAAAATAACTAAGCAAAGTGCTCACTATGCTAAGTAGAGCAAATCTAACTATGAACCTAAAGAGCAAGGCAAACGTTTACCTGGTTCTTTAGGTTCATAGTCATATAATATATACTCTTCGTAATTAGACCCACATAACTTCTAAAACTAAGACCAAAGTTTATTTAATGAATAAGTAAGAAATGTCTATTTTATCATATATTTGTTTCCCTTGCGCCATTTTTAATTTTCAGCGACATCGGTTACGAACAAGTAGAATTTATTACGGGTAAATTTACAACGATAAAATATTATTCAAAATTGAAAAATATTTTTAGGTAAAAATTGTTCAGTAAAATTGCTTTTTTAACGCACACACATATTTCTTCCTTATGTGGAGATTAATAATAAAAGAGAAATTCTAAATTTACACCGAACAGTGTTAATTGCTAATACAAAAATATTTCCTTATAACAAAAAAGTCGTACAGCGACACTTTGCCCATGCTAAACAAAACATATTTAGTTACAAGTTTCCCATGGGTAGAATAATTGCGCAAAACAAATTTAAGACCTGTAAACGAAAGAGCTTTGGCGTGTATAGTAAAAAAAAAAAAAAAAAAACAAAACAAAACAAAACAAAAAAACCCCCAAAACAACAAAAAACAAACTTCCTCGTACATATCTATCTATCTATCTATCTATCTATCTATCTATCTATCTATCTATCTATCTATCTCAGCCCATTCATTATCTATCTATCTATCTATCTATGCCGCCTCAATATCTATTCTATGTCTCCTCAACATC